TTTATTAGTATCATGTAATGTCAAGAATTACCACATATTTATATGTAATTTTGCTTTTCATGGCAAGATGATTCTTTCTAATCTGAAATGCTAGCACTATGCTCATGTTAAAACTGTGTTTAATTTTTATATATCAAGACATTTAAAACAACTGGCTTTTATCAAATGCATGTCTTTGTGTTTCATTTATTCAGGATAAAATTATGTAATAGAAAGTGTCTTAACAGTGTTTTTTTCTTGTGGCTTTGCATAATGCTGGTCTTTTTGTACAAGAATGTTTTTTTGAAAAAAAGTAAACATAAATTACGTGTATATCCACATGAACTGAAAATACAACAATGTGTCTGTTGTCCATTCATAAACCTACCTAACATTCATTTAGCCCATCCTTAGTGGGAGGTGGTATTATGGAGACAAATAAGTTGTTGCTGTCCCTGGAAATACTCAAGTTGGGAGTTTATAGTAATAAACACGTTTTCAAATAGTTGAGCCTAAAATTTTAAAAGTTGAATTTGGGGGCAAGCACAGCGAAAACCCTTAAAAGCCAGAAAATCTTTGTTCATCACTGGCCTTTGTAGTTCTTTGGATGTCTTACGGTGCACACTAGTGAGTCATCCCTGACTCATTTACACCATCAGGCATACAGCTTCATCTTACTGTCGGCTCTCCTGAGCATCATTTGCACACTGTTCTTTATTCTGTTCATGCAGTTCTAAGTTAATTCAAGTAAAAAACTATTGTTTTCCTCAGTTTGCACTCTCTTCTTTGATGAAACAGAAAAGCTCCCAGTTAGAGTTGTAGCTGTGTGCTATATGGTGCTTCATCCTGCATGACTGGATGCCCAGAAGCAAGACTCAGTTACGAGCGCAGGAGGCACATGACTTCGCTGTGCCACTGTCATGGCCAATGGCAGACTGAGAGTCAGTTTCCGCACCATGCCTCATCTTTTCCTACTATACACACACACAGTGTGCAGAAAGTTAACACTTGTTTGTCAGAAAATTCTTACAGGGCCAGCAAAATATCTCAGTAGATGAAGCGCTTGCTTAGGTAAACACAGGGGCCAGGCTTCGATCCCTGGCACTGCATGCCATACCAGTCCTGCCCCCTGGCATGCTGAGCCAGCAATGGTGCTGGACTTGGTGGCTCATGCATATAATCCCAGCACTAGAGAGGCAGAAAACACAGGAGGATCACTATAAGTCTGAGTTGTGTAGTGAGACCTTGCACACACAGACACACACACACACACACACACACACAAAGAAAATTCTTACAGCACATAAAATAAAAACTTCAAAGATAGAAAAGTCGAAAGGGCTGGCCAGATAGCTCAACTGATTAAAGTACCTGCTTAGGCAGAGGCAGGGGCCACAAGTTCAATCCCTAAGCCTGTAGTACTGGCCCCGCCCCAGCCCCCAGGGCGCTCAGAGACAGTGATTGAGACTAGGCATGGTGGCACGCACCTGTGATCCCAGCAGTTGGGAGGCTGAACACAGGCAGACCACTACGAGTCAGATCTACGTAGTAAGACCCTGTAGACCCTGTAGACCCTTGTCCTACAGGTGTTAAGTCATTTGTTTGCCATCTCTGCCTTCCAGAACCCCTCCCCAGAGGTGACAGCTGTCAGTTCCTTGTCTTTCTAACGATACTTACCAAAACACACCACCAGCCTGTTTCCTTTCTTTCCAAAGCCAGGTTCTATATTGCGGACCATCAAATATTAGCAGTATACAGTTATACAAGAAATATGAAATGCAGGTAAAACAGTATATGTAGTTTGTTTCCAGTGTTGAAAATAATCCATGAGAGAGGATGTGCCGGCAGGACTAATAAACCAAGATATTCTCAGTAATATCTCAGGTAGAGTGGTTGGGACAGGGAATCACTTTTCTTAGTAGCCAGCTCCATTATGTGAACTTCTTATTTATTTATTTATTTATTTATTTATTTATTTTGTGTGTGGCCAGCTCAGCCTACCAGGGGGCGGGGCTAGCTGGCATGTGGTGCTGGGGGATTGAACCGCGGTCCCTGTGCTTTGCTTAGCTTAGCTTGTTCTAAGTAGGTGCTTTAGACCACTGAGCCATCTCACCGGCACCATTATGTGAACTTCTAAGACTAAGAGCATATAATCATTTCGTGGTGACATTTCCAGAGATCTGATATATAAATACATACTTGGTGAGAGGTTTGTAGATCTTTAGGCTTTGGATACTGTCAGTCTTCCAAGGTCCAAGTGAGTTGTCCCTTATCCTTCACTTAATGACATCAACTTGAACTAGAAGTTAAACTACTAGAGGAGAGTAGCTTTTACTCAGAGCTTGGATTTTTCATGAGAACCAACATTAGGAGAGAGGAATGCAAAAGATTTAAATGATGTATGTTACAATTCTAGTCATAGATTCCTCTACTGAATAGATCTTCTTTTCTGAATACCCAGCTTAACCCAAGAACATTGTTGAAGTGATCATTTGTAATTGTTAACTAGTTGTAATACTTTTGTATTCTAGCTAGTTGAGGCTCTGGTCTCCAAATTGAAGAATACCACAAAATTCACTCAAGAGCTAGTAGTGCACTTGGCAAGTAGCATTTCTCTCAGCACCTTGATACAGTATTCCTAGTGAATTTGAAATCTACTATTCATTACTCTGAGTATGTCTTCTGTTAGAAACAGGTGATTGTGTAGAGGATGCTTAGCATGGTAAGTTTTACTTCTTACATTACTTACGTATACAAGAAACATGAAAGGAATTGCAATGTTAAAAATAGAGGAATACTAGATTTATTTGGGCAAATAAGTAGAGCTAACATGATGAGTTATTAGTAATCATTAAGTAGGGCTTTAACAGACAAACTGATAACATAAGGAATTATTTACAAATATTGTAAGAGAATAAAATAAATCTGCATGCATTAATTTGTCCACAGTGATATATATATATATAATTTTCCCATTTCAGTGTTTTCTGTTACAACAAAATATTTATTATGAGAATACTTCAAGCAATCTTAAGTTACCAAATAAAATAATTAAGGTTAAGGTTTTTTTTCTTCTTCAACTGTCAGTTGAAAGGTTTGCAAAGATTTTTTACAATGATTTTCTCTTAGGCAGACACAGGGGCCTAGGGTTCAATTCCAGACCTGCACTCCCAGCCCCACCCGAGGTGACCTCAGACAGCGAATGAGACTGAGCATGGTGGTGCGCCCCTGTAATCCCAGCACTTGGGAAGCTGAAAAACAGGAAGGATCACTAGAAGTCCAATCTGTATAGTGAGCCCCTGTAGACCTTGTACGAAATACATCTTAAAAAAAAAAAAAAAAAAAAGATTTTTCTCACCTCCCAGAATGGGTGAGAATTCTAGGACTGTTAAAAGTATCTGTCTTTTCTAATACTATCAGTAGTTTTTATAATTGTATTTCTACATCACATCTGCTTTATTCATTCACAAGCCTGAAGATGAACATGAATACGTAGTATTTCTTTCCTTCTGTTCAGTGGAATTTTACATTTTCATTTACTGGAGAATATTTTCTTACCACTGGGCAGTAAAGTCTCACTGTTGCTACCTTTAGTTACTACTTTTATTTTTTTCTTGCAAGCGAGGCATCTTTTAATACTTCTACAAATTATGTTCCTGTTTTATTTCATTGTGCTCTGAGTTCCCATACAGTATTTCTTTATTGAGGCAAAATATCTCATCATTATTTTCAAATTATATTAAATTTCCAGCAAAATCATTTGAATGCCATAGGGGTATCTAATTGTTTTTGATATGGTGTAATTCTGTGTGTATGTGTTTCCTGTAAATGCTCCTTAGTTTAAGTGTTCCTAATGTACGCACTATGGATTAGTTATGTTACAACTCAGGGACAAGTATTTGTGTACATATGCTCTAAGAATGTGAATTAATAAAACATATGAATGCCCAGCCTGATGGTAATATAAAATACAGGTAGGGTATGTGAGTGTGTGTGTGTGTGTGTGTGTGTGTGCGCGCGCGTGCGCGTGTTCATCACTTCGTCTGAAGTTCGAAGTCAGGCAGAAACATCAGAGGCACTGAAAATAGCTCTCCCTGTGGCGGGAACATGCTTGAGCACGAAGCACCAGTCCCCGTGTTAGTTTTATATTTCTGTTCGGTAGAATCTAAGGCTATTGAAATGGCTGCAAAAATAATTTGTCTGAAAGAAGTCTGGACCCAGAGACCTCAGACAAAATATTTGAGAAGACGGTTCCTCATGGAGTGCAACAGAGCCTCTTCCCCAGGCACCACGTGGTGCAGATCAAAGCATCCCATGACTTGGATCTGTGTGACCAAATCATTACTGTATTGATTGGAACCCCATTGATGCATTAACCCCTTCCTGTCCACAGCAAGTTTTCTCTCACTTTTCTTGGGTGATTGTAGGAATGTAACATTCCTGCCACTGTTAGCTTTAAGTTAATAATCTGTTTGGATATATCTTGCTAATTTTTTTTTTTTTTTTTTTTTTTTGCTATTCTAAATTACTATTTACTGCACTTGGCTGGATACAGTTGTGAAAAAGATACAGTTATGTGCAAGCAGTTTCAGGGAATGAAAGGAAAAATATGTATCATATTATGGTAGAAAACATGGCAAAAGAATTCCAAAATCATATAGAGATTTTATAATCTTTATTACGTAGATTAAATAAGTTGTATCTTTTTAAGGAATTCTATGCTGAGTACAGAGCCTTGCCTGGAACAAAAAACTGTCAAATACTTTCATACATAGAGGTACACTTCTAATATTTAAGTAATTGTACCTAAGTGTGTTGAGAACATAATGTTCTAGCTCTTACTATTTAGCTCTTGCTTTCAAAAATAATGCAAATTAATTAGTAAATTCCACAGGAAATGGCAATGAGAGATTTGTCCTTTCTGCAAGTGGGCCTGAGGGCTGCTCTTGCATTTTTGTCCCGTGTAGTGGAACGGCTCTTGGAAGCTCACTGATTGCCTGTCTTTGTGTTTTTCTTTGCAGTATGTCCCACGAGGAACACCCCCACAGCCATCCTCTCTATGGACATGGTGTGTGCAAGTGGCCAGGCTGCGAGGCAGTATGTGAAGATTTCCCATCATTTCTAAAGTAAGAAGTGTTTGATTTGTCATCTCTTTTACATAGCCTTCACCTTATGCTACCCATGATTGTGCTCACTGAATGCATTTCCGGTGCAGTGTTTCACACCAGCCTTTTGAGCATGGCCTCTGAGTCACACTCCCTGCACACTATTACATGAATTCTTCCAAATTCTGTCAAAGGCTGTACTTTAAAGGAAAAGAGACTTACACCTGAAGGCAGTAAGAATGTTAGTAAAAACCCATGTGGATCTACTTTCTGGAGTGACAGTGATGAAGGAGCAATTTAAAATAATTTAGTTTTTGCTTTTATTCATGTCCATGTACATTAAGTAAATGATATACACATTACTGCTAACCATAAAATTGGCATCAGTTACTGGTTAGTTGCAGCTCAGTGGTGGAGCCCCTTTGTTGTAAACCCAAGAAAAGGATGCTGAGAAAAAGCTATTAGCTACATTTTTATCATTCTCTACTGGTGTTGACTTGTATTTAGATCCTTGTCCTTATAAGGAGAATGTAGGAAGCTTTATTTCTACAGTTAAAGTCAGTCTTCAGTTATTCCCTTTGAACCTATCACCGTGATGAAAGTCTAAGTGATAGATGATATGATGATCTTCTCGTAACTGAAGTGCACTCTAAAATTGCATCTTAATGTTCCTATTACCTGCGTCAACCTGCAGATTAAAAACTTTAGACAGAACTACCTTGCATTTTCAATACCACATACATGTATTTAAAGTACTGAATCATTGACCTATGGATGGAATATACTACATGTGATACCTCTTACATAATCATGTGCATGTGTATAGCTTCCACATCTCTGCATGCATGATAGTTTACAAAATTGTTGGTGGGGATCCTTTCTCTGAAGCTTGCTTTCTCATTTTATTTAGCTCCAGAGAAACTGGTGGCTGATTTACGTGCAGTTCTCCTTTTGTAGTTAGAATAATCTCAATATCTAACTTTATGCACCTGCATACAAATACAGTAATAGAGTTACCCTTAGAGGTATAGCTAATGTTATCTGCAAGTAGTTTTTGTGAATATAGGTTTTTGATTGATGCCCAGAAGCTTATGAATCTATTTTGTAGTTTCCTTTTTTTAATACTGCATTCCAGGAGCATTCTGTGGTCATTGAAAATTTTAAGAACTAAGATTCTGTGAAGGAAATGTCCAAAATTGCTTTTAAATACAGTACCAACAAAAATAGGAGCTGAGATGCTTTATTTTAAAGTCAGCAGTGATCTTTAGCATTCAGATTAATGTTGTTCTTTGTTTTCTGTATGAGTCACTCATTACAGAGTCTTTGTCTAAATTATATTTATGTAATGAGAAAAAAAATTCAGCAAAAACTCTTAATTTTTGAGTTCTTCTGCACCAATGCTAGGGAAACATCTTACTGATTTATCTGTATTGAAGCTGGCAAGCATTTGTAAATATTTTTATAAAGCCTCTATAAGTATGAATTGCTGTCAGTGCTCTGCACGACATGCATCCATTTAAGAATCGGAAAAGGAAGGGGCTGGGGTGATGGCTCAGTGGAATAAACATTTCCCTGGCAAGTGCAAGGGCCTGAGTTCAATTCCCAGTTCCACCAGAGAGAGAGAGAGAGAGAGAGAGAGAGAGAGAGAGAGAGAGAGAGAGAGAGAGGAGGAGGAATCAGAAAAGGAAAGACAGTATCCAAGTGTGACCATTTAAGACTTTCAGTTATGAGAAAACTGTTTCTACTGTAATAGTTCTGAAGACAAGAGATTACATTGATTGATTGATTGATTGATTGATTGATTTCCAGATCTAAAAAGGGTTAGATAAGTACATACATACATATAGAGCTATTTCAGCTCTAGAAAGGGAAAAAATAATTTCAGTTATTGGAGTAGTAAAAAAATAATCAAAAGATCATTACAATCAGAGCCTGGCTTTGATTATTCTAAAAAAAGCCTATTGCCTGGTGTGGTAACTCATACCTATAATCCTTAGGCCCAGGAGGAGGATTGCAAGTTTGAGGCCATCTTGGACACTTAGTGAGACCATGTTTCAGAATAAAATTTTCAAAAGGCTAGGGATACAGTTCAGTAATAGAACATGTGCCTAGAATGCTCCAGGCCGAGTTCATTCCGTACTCCTGAAAGATGACCCCAGTCTGGCCTGTTCTGTTCTTACAACATTACAGGTCTGGCTCCTATATTGGAAACCACCTTTGAGTTATTTACTGTGGTTTTATACATGGCATGAGAAGCTCTTAGTTCCTGTTCACTCAGTGAAATTGGAATGCCCACTGTCAACTGGCAGAATGAAAGCTCGGCTATTTTGTAGCACTTATTCTTCTGAAGATATTATTTGGAAGTTTGTTTGCAAGGTGTAGAAATCTATCATGAATTGGCTTAAGCAAACAAAAAAAAGATGTTTATTAGCTTCTGTAAACAAAGAAGTGCAGTGGTAAAGTTAGCTTCAGACCTAAGTGGATCTAGATATATAAAGTTTTTAGAGAAGTGATTGTCCCTTCTGTCTTGTGTTCTCATCTTTCTTGGATACTTTGAAGTGACACTGAGGAGTTCAAATGTACATGCTTGGGTTCCACAGTGTATGTCTTTCTTGTATTTCCAAAAAGTGCCATCAGCAGAGTGTAACTGGCTAAGATTGCATTATGTATTCTAGTTTCAGTCCACACATGGTGACATTGTCAGGTTTGCATCACATGCCTACCCCCAGAGCAGAGTGAACTGCTCGACCAACAGAAACATACTTAGGTCGAGAGGCTTCATTCCAGAAAGTAAACATGAGTATTCTAAGCACAAAAGGGAGAGCAAATGCTGTTTGTGTGTGTGTGTGTGTGTGTGTGTGTGTGTGTGTGTGTGTATAATTCTGTACAAGTCAGTATTTTCTTGGGTGCTTTCCTGAGTTCCACATTGATAATCTATAACCAATTCAGGTTCTCATTTTTCCTCTATAGCGTAATTTTTAAAGCTTAGAAATTCAGAGTAGTCTCTACATATCAGGAGATAATACATTGGAAAATAAGTCATCTCATAGATTCACCTTTCCCACATGTCTACTTGGTCCTAAAGGGTCATTAAACTGGCTTTCTTGAAGCCAACTTATTTTTTCCAGTCTTGGATTGAAAGAAGCTACTGAATTTCTTGCGGTTCTAATACACTATTAACCACACAGCTTTTTTGAATAATATCATGGGATCATTGTTATCATAGAGCTATCATTATTTCTTCTTGAATTGCTGAGTTGGTAGTTTCCAAAAGCATCTTTTTCCAGGGTCTACTTTCAGTTATATCATGCATGTAAATGTTACTCATTCGTTCATTCATCCCAGTTCTGGGGACTGAACTCCAGGCCACTGAGCTACATCCCTATCCCTTTTTTATTATTATGAGACAGAATCCCCTTAACTTCCTAAATTGTCCGGGTTGGGCTTGAGTTTATTATTCTCCTGCCTCATCTTCCCAGAGTCTTCAGATTACTTATGTGTGCTTCATCATCCAGCCTAGAAGCAATTACAGGAATGGCTCATTGTGCTTGGATTCTTTCTTAACTGAAACATTGCTTTGAAATTTTGTCTCATAGATTTTTTCACCTGTCTTCCAATTTCCTGATTTTACTTTACTCTGGTAATAGTTCATAACTAAGAGACATTGAACAATGAAACAGGCACAGTTTCAAGTTTCTCATATATATTAAATTATTTCATTCTGATAGTAACCTTACTGTGGTGCCATTACTGTTTTGTTTTGTTTTGTTTTTGTTTTTTTACCTACAAACAGTTAAGAAAACTATGGCACAGATAGGTTAAGTGATAGTAAATGGTAGAGTTACTGTCTAAACTCTACTTTCAGAGTCTAGTTTCAGAGAACTTGTTCCTAATTGCTGTATTACTGTACTGACCACTTTTCACTATTCATTTGCCTTCTATTTAAGATAGTGTATATAAAAATAAGTTTTGGAAAAAGGCAGATTGAGGAGTGAAGCAACTTACTACTGTTAAAGTGTTCTTTGAGCTAGTTGTGTAGCTTCTCTGAGCTTCAGTGTCAGCACATATAATTTAGGACATGAATAGATTGTTAAAAGGTATGTCATATAACCTGCTGAACCTATAGTGGACACTATAAAAATATTAACACTTACCTAAGTTTTCTTTGTTTGTTTCTTTTCATGGTACTGCAAGATGAAGCCAGGACCTCATGCATACTAGACAGTACTCTACCACTGAGCTGCTCTTCCATCCCTAAGTATATTTTTTTAAAGGGAGCAGTAATATTAAATCTCCAAAAATTTCTGATGCAGAGAGGAGTTTCCTACTAAACAGATTGATGTGACAAGAGACTGTTTTCCAACATAACTGTTTTCATCCTAAGTTTCCCACACTGTGGCCCACACAGTGAAAGCCCTTGGAGCAGGGAATGGCACTTTCCCCCCATAAGCAAATAGTAAATTTTTCAGGATATAGTGTCTGTCCCAGCCACTCTCCTCTGCTTCTGTAACTCCAGAGCAGCTTTATACACTCCTTGACGTGGGCACGTGGCTGTGTCCCATGGACGACAGTTTGCTGACCTCTAACCTAGGTTCACATTGTTACTGTCATGCTCTGTTTTTAGCTGAAAATGTTTCTGGCAGTCTTTGGGCAGTGTTGTCTTGGGCTATGGTATTTGATGGAGCCCTTGAGTTTACTCCTTTTAGGGGAACACACATGCAGATCTTACCTCATCGTTTCATTCACCAGCCATGGGGTCTTAGTGCTTCCTTGGCCTCAGGTTCTTCCACTTGTGTTTTTGGGTTCTGTGGCAGAAGGGAAAGTGACTTAACTTGGTAACTGTTTCTGGTCTTTTATGGCTCCAGTACTAAGATATAACTGTCACAAGGGCTGAGATTAGTTATTTAGGAAAAAACGCCCACCTGACAGTAAAGTGCCACTGTTAACAAAGAGGGGTTGAAGAAAAGGAGGGGAACTTGCAGGTCTAACAACGAGGCACATTTTCTTTTCCCAACTGATAA